ACCAAACTTTTTTCAGATGCAACAAGATTGACCAAGGGCTTTTTGCTATTTTTACCATGAATTAATTCTACCACAATTTCCCCTTTCTTTTTACTTTAACCCATAAAAATAAAGAGTATATCATTTTTAAATTAGAAATTAACTCAATAGTCCTGTTTGCTAAAATGCCCAATATGTCTAGGATTAGCGACTTAAAAGAGTTGCTTCCTGCAAGTTATTTTGTTTGAAGAGAGTATACATCTTTCTTGCATATGGTCAGTTTTGTAAGATGCATAAATGATGATTGGTCTAACTGTACACAAATTTATCTAAATGTAGTCTATGTATACAAAGTATATGATGTTTGGAATGGTATCCCGTGTTTTGTCCTGCTGGGGATAACCATTATTTTATGTTTAAAGTGCATGGCATTCAGATAAAATATGCCATTTATTTTGATTAATATTATGTGCATTCTTTATTTCTATGTAGACTGGTGAACTACGGCACATTGCTCATTTGAACTTCACTGCTTGGCCAGACCATGATACGCCAACAGATCCAAACCAACTGCTCAATTTTATTTCCTATATGAGACATATCTACAAGTCAGGACCCATCATTACACACTGCAGTGCAGGCATTGGCCGTTCAGGCACCCTTATATGCATCGACGTGATGCTAGGACTGATCAGTAAAGATCTAGAGGTAAATACCATTTCCAGGATAATTTATGTTTATAAAGGAGAACATTGTAAATCTACTTGCCTGGTCCAAGTAGGATCATGTAGGATCCATGTATGTCATTTGATCTGTTTTAATATACTCTGTCATACATGTATTTTCAAAATACACCAACACATCAATCATTGTGTTTTCTCACTAAACTGGAAATATTGTAAATTGACAATAGAATTGCACAGGCCAAAATTGCCTATTGGAGAATTGTTTTTTACTTAGGCTAATGTGCACTTTTCTTGTCCATTTTACTTAATTCTCAGATTAATTAATAACCTGTAAAATCTAAGCCATTAACTTAATTTAATGTTGGCTTATTATTCTGCCTGTCAAAGGATTTGCAGTCATTAACTGCATCTCATTCTTCACTCTTTCACATGAGATCTGGCAACATTCAACACAAAATGTTGTGCATTAGGGAAATAGACACTCTCCTACATCTCATTAATTGAAAGCAAACTAAGTGACTAAACAACACAGGATAGTGGGAGGGATAACCAATTAAAAATCTTAATCATCATTAGAAATATTGGTTAAAATTAGCCTATTTCATCTTATCAATTTTATAAGGTGATATAAGTCCTTTAGTGCTTCTCCATGTAGTGACGATATGCACTACATAAATACATGCTTCATTCTGTATTTCTCCACGTTGTTAAGTCACTTTACCCATTATAGACATTCCCACTTTAATGGTAGTCATAGACCTCATTCGCAATTAGCATATTAACTATTGGAGACTATGATGCCTATTATATATTGATTTTAAAATAATTAAAGGCTGTGGCCCTTACAGATACAGTTTGTCTATATTTTTTGTCTTTCTTTTAACAGTTTGCCATCTCAGACATGGTGCGAACAATGAGACTTCAAAGGCATGGAATGATACAGACAGAGGTAATATAGCAAAAAGATCAGTCTGTTAGCACACATGTCTTCTTTGGACTTTAATCAATACATTGATTAAATTTACAGTTGCAAGAAAAAGTATGTGAACCCTTTGGAATGATATGGATTTCTGCACAAATTGGTCATAAAATGTGATCTTATCATCATCTAAGTCACAACAATAGACAATCACAGTCTGCTTAAACTAATAACACACAAAGAATGAAATGTAGCCATGTTTTTATTGAACACACAATGTAAACATTCACAGTGCAGGTGGAAAAAGTATGTGAACCCTTGGATTTAATAACTGGTTGAACCTCCTTTGGCAGCAATAACTTCAACCAAACGTTTCCTGTAGTTGCAGATCAGACGTGCACAACGGTCAGGAGTAATTCTTGACCATTCCTCTTTACAGAACTGTTTCAGTTCAGCAATATTCTTGGGATGTCTGGTGTGAATCGCTTTCTTGAGGTCATGCCACAGCATCTCAATCGGGTTGAGGTCAGGACTCTGACTGGGCCACTTCAGAAGGCGTATTTTCTTCTGTTTAAGCCATTCTGTTGTTGATTTACTTCTATGCTTTGGGTCATTGTCCTGTTGCAACACCCATCTTCTGTTGAGCTTCAGCTGGTAGACAGATGGCCTTAAGTTCTCCTGCAAAATGTCTTGATAAACTTGGGAATTCATTTTTCCTTCGATGATAGCAATCCGTCCAGGCCCTGACGCAGCAAAGCAGCCCCAAACCATGATGCCCCCACCACCATACTTCACAGTTGGGATGAGGTTTTGATGTTGGTGTGCTGTGCCTTTTTTTCGCCACACATAGTGTTGTGTGTTTCTTCCAAACAACTCAACTTTGGTTTCATCTGTCCACAGAATATTTTGCCAGTACTGCTGTGGAACATCCAGGTGCTCTTGTGCAAACTGTAAACGTGCAGCAATGTTTTGTTTGGACAGCAGTGGCTTCCTCTGTGGTATCCTCCCATGAAATCCATTCTTGTTTAGTGTTTTACGTATTGTAGATTCGCTAACAGGGATGTTAGCATTTGCCAGTGACTTCTGTAAGTCTTTAGCTGACACTCTAGGATTCTTCTTCACCTCACTGAGCAGTCTGCGCTGTGCTCTTGCAGTCATCTTTACAGGACGGCCACTCCTAGGGAGAGTAGCAGCAGTGCTGAACTTTCTCCATTTATAGACAATTTGTCTTACCATGGACTGATGAACAGCAAGGCTTTTGGAGATACTTTTATAACTCTTTCCAGCTTTATGCAAGTCAACAATTCTTAATCGTAGAGCTCTTTTGTGCGAGGCATCATTCACATCAGGCAATGCTTCTTGCAATGCTTCTTGCAATGCTTCTTGTGAAAAGCATACCCAGAACGGGTGTGTGTTTTTTATAGGGCAGGGCAGCTGTAACCAACACCTCCAATATCATCTCATTGATTGGACTCCAGTTGGCTGACATCTCACTCCAATTAGCTCTTGGAGATGTCATTAGTCTAGGGGTGCACATACTTTTTCCACCTGCACTGTGAATGTTTACATGGTGTGTTCAATAAAAACATGGCAACATTTCAGATTAGATCACATTTTATGACCAATTTGTGCAGAAATCCATATCATTCAAAAGGGTTCACATACTTTTTCTTGCAACTGTATCTCCGAGGAGATGTTGATTGACCAGGGCTGTGTTTGACTTGTGCTGGCTCTGCCTCCTTGACAGTCTCAGCCAAGCCTATGGGAAAGCATTGTGATTGGCTCACAGAATCACTTCTGATGTCAGCAAAGGCAGGTCAGGGGCAGAGGCAGCAGTTGCAGACTTTAATAAAAGTAAGATTTTACTATATTTATGGGGGAAAGGGGAGTGTGGCTAGATGGTGGTTTTAACACTACAGGGTCAGGAATGCATGTTTGTGTTCCAGAACCTATAGTGTTCCTTTAAACGTAATGAAAAACTTTTTTTTTTTTTTTTTTGCAGATACTGTACCAAAATGCTCTTAATTTCATGGCTCTATCCTTTATCCTTAGTCAATGTATGTCAGTAGTAAAGTGTAGGGATCCACTGCTCAAAGTAAATTTTTAGAGCTTTATTTATAAATGTATAAATGTTATAGTGTTTAGAGTGCACAAAAATCCAATAAAAATGTGTGCTCTAAATTAAATTAAAACACAGCAGAAGTATTCATATTTGCTTGTAATTTTAGTCATTATGAGAGAGGTTGCCCATTGCATCTTATATTTCTATGTTCATCCTATAGCATCCTAAAACACTGTAAATGAATGGCTATGTTTTACAGTACCCAAATTTAATATATTTTTTTAATTCTTCAGGAACAGTACATTTTCTGCTACCAAGTGATTCTTTATATTCTTAAACAACTGCAATTAGAAGAGCACAAGAGGAGCAAATAAAGTGCAGTATTTGACCTTGTTTGACCTTTCTTCGTTAGTTATCCATTTTCATTATGTACAAATGTTTTACGTGTCTTATTCATTGTAGACCAATTAGCTCTACGAAAACATGAAAGTTAACTTGTTTGAGACCAACATTTTACACTGTTCATATACCAGTAAATAAACAAGGGCTGCATTTTTTTTGTAGCTTACTTAAGACTGTTTAGACCAATACAAACTTAAAACCAATGCCAAGTGCAGTTGTGTTTAACTGCTATTTTATTAAGGGGGAGGGTGATTGTAAAGACAGTATTTTAATACAGTGACATTTGTTACACGGGCATTTACATTTTTGATAACCTGGTACGCATGTATATCCGCAAACAAAGTTTTCAAGTATTTAAAAACAAAATAGTTTTCTGTGGAGTACTTGAATCCAGTATTTAAATATGTGAGAACAGATCAATTTCTATATACCAAAAAGGAGTAAATATATTGTAATTATTTCCTACATTTCATAATGTTTACTTATATAGAGTTTTATGTACTATTTATATACTTTTACAAAAAGCATTAGTATGCCTGGCTGTATAATTAGGCATTCTTCATTTTCCTGTTTTGTAAATAAATGTATAAAAATTATTTTTATGTAGCGTTTGTTTTTATTTAGAAATTACACGAATATTGAGTTAATACGAACAACGGACACACATGTTCTGTGGGGGAGGGGTGGCAGGTTTTTTTTTTTTTACAGTCTCATGGATTGTCATCACTCTCTAACATAGATAGACCTCAATTTAACAAGCTTCCCAAATGATCCATCTACAAAAATCCCCATAGACTTTACTGGTGATTTCTGTAGATTTGAAAAGCTGGAGGCCATAGTTAGTGTAATAATGTTCTCTCACTCCTGACTATTCTAAAATAAAACTTCTAAACATTGGGTATACAAATATGGGGCTTGTATAAGAATGTATGTTAACCCCTTTTTCCATCATGCATGTCCTCCCGTTAAGGACGCATGACAGAAAATGTCCATCATTTACTAAAGTTAACTTCAGATTACCTCGAACTCGCTGTCCCTGCAGCTGTGATTGCTCTGACAGCCTGTCAGAGCGATCACATGTGCTGCAGGGACTCCTGATCCGCCACCCTGTGCTTCAGCGTTTAGTGTGACGTGCAGGGAAACGGATCAGTGCTGATGATCTTTTCCCTCCAAAAAAAATAGTTAGTTTAAAATCCCCCCCTTCCCTTTCTCTTACCCAGTTTAAATAAAAAAAAATGCCTACAGTGATCAAAATACAGATCACAGTATTTTATGTTAACCTTTGGGGGCTAAACTTAATTTTTTTTTTTTTTAACCCTCTGGGATAAAATATATTTAATTATTTGAAATATCTTTAAATTATATATTTAGCTAGCTGGGGTGGATGGGAGTTAGTGGTAAATTGGGGAATTTACGGTTAGGCTAGTTAGCTACTTGACCCTAACTCCCCATCCAACTACCGTCCTATCTTGCTACTGCCTTTTGTGCCCAAGATCCTTTGAAAGAGTTTTGTATGAGAGTTTTACAGGCTTCGAGTCCAACTCTCTGCTAGACCCGCTTCAGTCTGTTTCCTCGCTAAGCACTCTGGAAACGGCACTCACCAACGTATCCAATGATCTATTCGCTGCAAAATCTCATGGTCACTACTCTATCCTAATTCTCCTTGACTTTTCTGCAGCTTTTGACACGGTTGATCATCAACAGCTTCTTCTCATCCTCTGCAGTATCGGTCTACAAGATATTGCTCTCTGCTGGTGCTCCTCCTACCTCTCCCAGCGCTCATACAGTCTTTCTTTGGCTCTGCTTCTTCTCCCCAACACCTCTCTGTTGGTGTCCCCCAAGGTCAGTGCTTGGTCCCCTACTGTTCTCCATCTATACTGCCTCCCTCAGTAATTTCATTAGCTCCTTTGGCTTCCAATATCATTTCTATGTGGATGACACGCAGATCTATCTGTCCTCTCCTGATCTCTCCCTGTCCCTCTTGACTAGTCTCTCTGACTGCCTCTCTGCTATTTCTAAATGGATGGCTGTCCACTTCCTTAAAATCAACTTGACCAAAACTGAAATTCTGGTCTTTCCTCCCTCAAGTGTTGTTACTCCTGTGTCTGTCTGTCTGTCTCCCTCCAAGTCAACGGTGCTACCATCAGCTCCACCACGCAGGCTCGCTTCCTAGGTGTTCTCTTTGACTCAGACTGAACATGAGGTGTGAAGGAGAGGTCTATCGCCAAATCCTGCCGCTTCCATCTCAAAAACATTACACACATCCGATCCTACTTAACGCCAGATGCGACTAAGGTGCTGGTCCTTTCCACTGTCCTTTCTCGCCTTAACTACTGTAATCCGCTTCTCAGTGGTCTTACATGCTCCCAACTTGCGCCGTTACAGTCCATAATGAAGGCGGCAGAGAGGCTCATCTTCCTGTCCGCCCACGCCTCACCCTTCTGTCAGTCCCTACATTTGCTTCTTGTAAGAGATAGGGCTCAATATAAAATTCTGGTTCTTACTTCTTTTAAATCTCTACATAATGCTGTTCCCACCTATCTATCCTCCCTAATACACAAGTATGTCCCATCTAGGCCCTTACACTCTGCTGAAGACTTACGTCTATCTTCTGTCCGTACTCCCACCTCTGATGCTCGACTTCGAGGGCTGCACCGTTCCTGTGGAATTCACTTTCCTCCTCCGTTAGATGCTCACCCAGTCTCCACTCCTTCAAAAAAATTAATCAAAAACCCACTTCTTCATAAAAGCATCTCAATTAAACTGTTAATAGCTCCCGACTGATTCCTCTCTTGCAACTGTCATTAGTCTAATACTATCCTTAACTTTTGTGTCACTTTATCCCACTCCCTCTAGCATGTAAGCTCATTGAGCAGGGCCCTCAATCCCTCTGTTACTGTGTATCTAACTTGTCTGGTTACAACTACATGTTTGTTCGTCCACCCACTGTAAAGCGCTGTGGAATTCGTAGGTGCTATGTAAATAACAGTAAAAAAAAAAAAAAAAATTATAAACGTAAAAAAGGTTTGGTGGGTTTTTTTTTTTTTAAATACATTAAAAAATGCTTATTACCACAACACCTGGAACAAACTAGCAACAAAATTATGTAATGCTAAGGTTCTAAATATATCTTTTGAAATACACCAGGGTGTATTATTTAAAAAAAAGTATGAGTTTGTGGGGTTGGTAACCAACCAGCTAAACTAATCCAAAATGGGACATGGACACAGCATAAAAATTTAAAGTTTTATAAAAATAAATGGAAAGGCTGTGTCTCAAATATTCCCCTTTAATGTCCACATATACCTGGTAAAGCTTCATACAGGGCGTACTGTTGTACTACAACAACATAGCTGAGCAACATATGAAATATTACACAGCCATAGCACACATAAGGTTTGCAAAATATACTGTGCAAACTCACAGTGTGTGTCAAGGCAGAAAAAATGCTCATTACCGTTACACTTGGTACAAGCTAGCGGAAAAATTATCCCACACGAAGGTTAAAAATATGCCTTTTGAAATACCCTAGGATGTCTTCTTTAAGAAATGGGTAGTTGGAATATGTAGCCTGTTAAAGTGCTCCAAAATAGAACACGGACCCATCAACACCATGTAGGAAAATTCACACTTAAAAACCTGAACTTCTCACATCTCTTTTACAGTACTTTAACTTTACAATATAGTGTCTAGGTCATACATTGGGCATATTATTTTACACAGAAGAGATAACTGAGCATAATTTGGGGGATTCTATGACAGTGGAACATATCAAGTGTAAGAAATACCCAGCAAAAATGCAACATGTATATAAAAATAAAAAAGGGGAAATAATTCTTTTTTTCTCACCACAAACATTCACATAAATTGGTGAACAAATGGTGACCAGTTACGGCACAATAAAAGCCATGTAAGATACCTCTGCTTTCTCAAATGGAAGGCCGTTGCGGGGTTATTTGAACAGTCAAACTACTATAATTTCACAAAATGAGACATAGGCCCATCAAATCCATCTATGAAAATTCTATCTATAGAAACGTAAATAGCCTGGTCTCTTATATGGCATTGTAGCTTCACAGAAAAGTGCCAAATGCATACAATGGGGATAGCGTTTTACTCAGCAGCTGTAGCTGAACACAATATGGGGTTCAATACAGTAATAGCGTACGGCAGCTTCACAAAGTATTACAAAATCTTGTGTATATGCCAAAATAGAAAAACAAACACAATTTTACGCCAATATTTAGCAGAGATTGGTGATGAAATGGCTACGTAAAAAGTGTCAAAATAACCTTAGGTAAATAGCCTGTAATGTCTACTTTATATATGTATATGCTCTTGTGTGGCAATTTAGATTTTTGTGATGGCTACTAAACATTCCAACTTCTAAATAGTTTGTTTTTTTTCCTTGTATTCTGTGACCTGTAACTTTCAAAATAAGCCGAAATCCTATACATATTATCTACTCAATAAATCAAGACACAAATCCATTTATTTTGAATTACTTTTCCTAAGCTGGATATATTATGAACATGTTATTGCCAAAACTTTTTTTTTTCTTTTTACTATTAATAATGAGAATATATATATATGTGACATTGAAGTAAAGCCCTTTTTGACCGCTAAATTTTTTTTATATAATATGTGTTGGAGCAATAAATAAGAGAGATGAAAAAAAAAATGCAAAAATTGCTTTTGTCCTTAAGGGCAAGTCAAGCTTCTGTAGCTGTGTACTTAAGGGGTTCATGGATCTGGATTTTGATTCCTTCTTTATTTTTACAAAGAATATAAACACTAACTTTAATCCCACAAAGTCGTTATTAATATTGATGTGTTTTTGAATTGCCATGATGTAATGAGATGTGCCTAACTTCTAATAGTTAAGAGGTTAATGCAACATAATATATAAAAGAAATATTACAATAAATCTATTTCACACAGGGTTTGTCATTACATTTATCACAGGATGGGCAAAGTATAGAACTAAGCGTGAAAATAGCTAAATTCAGCTTTTGGATATTTTCTCTATTTTTTTGTCTTAATTTGATGGGAAAGTTCTACAGAAATAAGTGTTTATTCTACATGTAGAGCACAGTACATTTAAACAAAACAAAAAAAAAAGTTTGTTTACCTGCAACTACTAACTGTTAAATACAACTATCCTGGTGATAATAAGGAGAGTGCCAAATTGCCATCTTATAAAATGCCTTGACAACTATCCATCATTTTATGATGTTTATTTTTTTTTGGTTCGTTTGTTTTTTAGCCAATGCGTCCCATTTAATTTTTGTGGTTGTCCAATTTTTGGCATACATTTATTCTACCACAATGTTCCCCCCTTTCTATTTAAAAGCATCCATACATATTATATATAATTTTTTCAAAAGGAAAACTAGTTCCTTCTTTTGATACCCATATATATTTTTTTATATAATTAAAACATCTTTTCCTATCATTAGATGCAAAAAAGGCTTTTGATGGCCTTAACTGGCAATTTCTAGATGCTGGCTTGACTTCCCCCACTGAATTAATTAGCCTTATTCAAACTCTGTATAGTTCACCCACAGCAAAAATTACCAATGCTGGATTCACTTCTAACACATTTCCTATTACCAACGGCACACGCCAAGGTTACCCCCTTATCACCTCTAGTATATGTATTTGCATTAGAGCCCCTCACGACACGAATAAGAAATAATCCATGAATAGAAGGAATAAACATACAAAAACAAGAACATAAACTGACTAAACATATCCAAAACACAAGCAATGACAATAAATATTTCACAAGCACAACTCAAAATCTTTAAAGCCAAAAAAACAGTACGAATGGAGAAAATACCATTTCACGTTCCTAGGTGTAGCCTTTACATAAAAATTTTAGATAAAATATTTCAAGCCAATTATGGTAAGACCCAAATGAAACTCCAATCTCTAATGCATGATTGGAAGAAACTTTATATATTATGGTCGGAATGCATAGCTGCGCCAAAATGGTCATCTTACCTAAAATACAATATCTTTTTAGATCATTTCCCATCCCTGTACCTAATTTACCGGTACTTTACTAAATTGTATAAAAAATCTCCATTTTTATTTGGATGGGAAAAACGGCAAGAGTTGCACTAGATACACTACACCGTCCATCATCTGAAGGAGGCATGAGCTTGCCTAACCTTAAAGCGTACTATCATGCCGCTATAATGAGCAACATTATACACAAACAAACGGCACAACACGACTTACAGTGGAACACCATTGAAAGACAGTGGACTAATGGTATAGATCTTAACTGTTTAGCCTTGCCCCGACCATTGAGCCCTCCAAACCAAGACTGGCTGGACACCACATCCCTTATTGTAAAAATATGGGATCAGTACAAACAAAACCTAACACCTAGTGCATCCTTATCCAGAGCAACACCCATTAAAGCTCTCTCACTTTTAATAGAAAGTTTTATATATAGAATATGGGAAAGGCACGGGATCACGTACCTAAACCCGATATATAGGAACAACAATATTCTGTCATTTGATGATCTGAAAAATGATTATAAGCTACCCTCGATAGCACAGTACTCATATTCCCAGATACACTCCTGGTTAACTAAACATAATAAAACCGACAAAAAAGATGCAGAGGGCTGTCAGCTTACAGAGACAGAAATACTGTGCCTCTCTAATAAACCACCCCCCAAAAAAATGATGTATGCCATGTATAAATCCATGTACAAAAAAAGAGTCAAACTACAAGACTACATGTTCATTAAAGCTTGGGAAAAAAACATTAACGGAGGAAACATGGGTACCGATATTTACAGGGCACCAGAAGTTATCCCTGTGTGCATCCCACAGAGAACTATAAAAAGATACTATACAGATGGTATCTAGTCCCTACTCCTCTAGCCCATATTAGTCTGAACAAATCAAACAAATGTTTGAGGTGTAATACAGAAAGCTGTACAATGACACATATGGTGGCAATGCACCAAATTTTTTCTGGCTGCACATAGCAGAGACGATAAAAACATGTACAGGGGTACAACTGCCACACACACACCAGACAGTTACATTCTCTTCAACTACCCACCCCATCCATCTAAACCAGACATATGGTAATCTACCATATCATAATAGAAGCACTAGCAAACTTAGCACGCAACTGGGCAACACCGAAAATACCAACTGCATTAGAGTACAAACAATAAATAACAAAATCCAGTAAATACGAACGAATAATACGTGGACAGAGTGATAATAATGACAATACGAGCTATACAATTAAAAAATACTGAGAAAAAGCATGGACTAAGTGGGGTGCCTATGTAACAAAGAATGGAGACTCTTGATCGAAAAATACACTGGAGAAGGATGCATTTATGGAGAGGTCAGACCAAGACACCTAGCAGAGAACTCTCTCTACCCACCCACATCTAATGTTTTATCTAAACCTCACTAGCTAATCTCGCGGATCACTATTTACCACCCACCTCTCATTATGCAGCAGTCTACACAGGATTGGAACAATGGAGGAGAAAAAGATTACAAATACACCAAAAAAGGTATAGCAAGAAGGATCACCATCACACTTCATATTCCCCAAACAAAACAACAACCATGACACCATGGAACCAAATATAATTGGTGGAATGTCACACTGTCCGTCCTCAACTGTACCTAAGGTGTAGTTCCCAACCCACATTTATAATAAGTTTATGCAACAACCCCAAGCAGCAGGGACATAATACACGACTAACCTCGTGTCCCTTGTTGGCACCGAAACCCTCCAAGAAATGTATTACATTTATTATCATTATTACCTGTAACATGGATTCTGTCTCCATAAAGAGTACAGGCAGGCAGAACTCTCTACAACAGGGAATCTACATAGCGAACATTTGTATTAAAATGAGTGTATACTGTTATTAATGCAATGCAACATTCCTTCTGAAATTACGAAATATGCCGAGATAAATATGCTGTAAACCCATAAGCTATACCCTTTTTTCTTCTGTACCCCGTTTCTTTTAATTTCGTTATATGGCACTATTTCAAAACAATAAAACTTACTATTGAAATAATTTCTTACACAAAGCACAAGTAAAGAAAACTTACTCAAAATAGATTCACTTATTAGCCCTGATTGTTGCCCAATCTGTTTGATTTAAATTAATTGTTAGACATTATAAAACGAGTTCTGCAAAGAATGGATTGTGGTTCTCAAGCTAAAATTTAGCAAAATTTGGCATGCTGAGATAACAACTTTATTAGTCACAGAATCCAAAACTGCCACACAAACATATATATTTGTAGAAAGTACATCCCCCAAGCTATGTAACTAAGAACATGTTGACACTTTTTATTTAATCTTTTTATCACAAACCTAGGTCAAATTAGTTAATTTTGTCATTTTTTCCCCACACGTGTATTTTTAAGGAAAACTCACAGACTACACGTGTCCCACTACTGCAAACACCCCATATTTGTATTCTGCTACTGTTCTCGAGTTTAATGATACCCACATGTATTTATTTTAACCATAATCCTACCTGTAATATTGTCTCATCCAATCATTAAATCCTACCTATAATCTAACTTTTTCCTACCTATAATCCCAGTCCCAATCCCACCTCTCAAGGGATTCCCTCTGTGATTTCAGTATTCCTGACCTTCCTCCTTTCAGACCCTGGGATTCTTCCTGAAATTTGGGGGGCACTGCTCTAGGCCTCGGGGGGGCCTTAACATAAATGTAACATACCACGATCTTGCAATTGAGCTACAGTGGCATTTAAAGGGCTATGAGCAGCTCTCCTGTCAGTCTGGGGCTACTGCATGTGGTCCTAATTGACAGAGGGGACACCCAGGTATCCCTCCCCCCCCCCCTTTTTTTTTATGCAGCAGGCAGAAGACAGTGATTGAAATTCCACAGCTAAAAGATCGCTCAGCTGCGGTATTTAAAGTGAGCAGAGTGCTGCTCTTAGCTCCTCTGTCAGTCTAGGACCACTAACTGTGGTCCCAGTTAACAGAGATATCCCCTAGTATCAAAAGATACCTAGGGTTCATTGGTACCAGCAAGGATTTAACCGGCATGATGGTTTATGCCGTCATTGGGCATTAATGCCCTGCACTGCATGACAGCATAGACAGTCGTGGTCATTAAGTGGTAATGAGCTGACACACCACAGTCATCCTTGGATACACTACATTCATGCTTTTACAAAAGGCATCCACACTAAAATATACATATGCAAACATGCCACAAACAAATATATTCACTGTATCTAAACATGCAAACACCAGCTATATCATTCAGACATTGAAATACACACTAGGTTCACAAAATACACCACACACAGAAATGTAGAAGAATTACACATTTTAATTTACACAGAAACAACTAGGAACTAGGTCTTAACTAATCAATAACATTTATAGTGTTGTTTATTGTATTTATATAATGTGTTTGTATTTTGTTTTTTTTAATTCCATTTGAACATCAAAGGAATACGATAGAGTCTGCAATACAAATCTGTATTCCTGACCCTATTGTGTTAAAAACACATGTTATGTTCCCTGTCCATTTAAATAAAAGTAGTTTGCTAACCCTTATTTCAGCGCAGGGCAGTTTCCCCGCCCCATGTCCACTTCCTTGGCTGACATCAGAATTTATGATCTCAACCAATCCAATGTGTGTCACTTTTCAAATGAAAGAAACAGTTGTCTCATTTGTCTGTATTCATGTAAAACCACCTTTTAGGTGGTCAGCCCTCCTTACCTGGGGTTAGAAAGGTAATTTACTCACCTTTTTCCAGCGCCAAGCTGGATTTTCACGTATGGCCCCGCCTCTGATCCACCTTTTTGGCTGACATCATCAGGATTGATGTTCTCAGCCAATCACAATGATTTCCCATAAGAAAGCATTGAATAGACTGAGATCATCAATTTTGATGATGTTAGCTAAGGAGACGGGTGGGGGCTGAACCAAGTGCCGCCCTGGCCAATCAGCATCAACCTCATAAAGATTCATTAAATCAATGCATCTCTATGGGAAAAGTTTAGCATCATGGAGACCCTGAACATCAGAGCTTCATATTGTGCAGCAATGACCCAGGAAGCACCTCTAGTGGCCGTCTACATTAGTGTCTAGGGATACCTCCAATTCTCTGAAAAGGCAGTGTTAACAACAAAATCCTGCAGTGACTGACTACTCACCAGAACAACTACATTAAGCAGTTGTTGTTCTGCTGACTATGGTGTCCCTTTAAGAGCATGTAAAGCAAGCATGTCAAACTTGCAGCCGACAATGAATATATTTGCAGCCCGCCTGCCCTGGGGCTGCGTTGTACTGTGGCTGCAACCAGCTGCAAGACAGGAAACATCTTTCCGGTCGGATACTTGTCTTCCCTCCCACAGCCACAAGACAGCAAAGTGGCTGTCTGTCTGCAGAGCAGGCCAGCCACTCCCTCTTCCCTCCTGCTTGCAGTGCCAGAGGAGCGTCTGGCCTGCTTAAACAGAGCAGACCTGGAACTGGAGGACAGGCGGCTCATCTTAAGGTAGGAGAAGAGGGGCTTGGGAGACCTTCCTGCGTAGTGTGCTAAATTGGGGAAGGAGGGAGCCAGTGTATTAGGATGGTGGGGGGTGTTAAATTAGGGGGAGGGCGCTGTATTAATTTGGCGGAGGGGTCAGTATATTGGATTTAGGGGCAATGTATTGGATTTGTGGGCAGTGTATTAGATTGGGTCTGCATGAAATGCTGATTGGCCGTGCAGCTTTTTGCCGCACATGCACAATAGCCTCCCAATGATTTCCTATGGAAAAGCATTGGATTGGCTGAGATCATCAAACTTGATGATCTCAACCAAAGTGAAGAAAACACACTCATAGGACTTCAAAATCGCTTAATTTGTTTTTTACAGCTGTGCATCAGCATGCATTCACCATTTCAGTCCCATTACCAAACATTTCTTAATATGTCAAGGTAGTTGTACTGAATCATTGGTTATTTTCAAATGCCCATCTCCCTAAAATAAATTTGCTCTTTTGTTTACTTTGAAACCCTACGAGCTTGATGACATCCAGTGTCATTTAGGCACTTTTTTTATACTGTACTTTTAAAAACAAAACTAAGTTTCTATAAAAACTTTCAGTTTTAGTTTTTTTTCAGCCCATATAAACTTAAACCTTGTTTATTTGGCCCGTGTTAGCCTTTTCATTTGACATGCTTGATGTAAAAGAGGAAAAAGGGGGGGTGGTTGTTAATAAGTTCATCCAGTGAGTTTCTTGGGCTACTGATTTAAAATTTCAGAAAGGTGTTGATATAACAACGTGTAATTTTGACAATAAATTCTACTATATAGACTGATTCAATAGTTTTTGTTTAAAAAAGCAATTTTATAAAAGATAATATCATGAACCCCTGAAACCAATCTTCTAAAGGGCCTCTAGCTAAATTACTGTGGTACCACTTTCAAACACATAAGTAGGTATGAGATTGTAGCTATATCCGATATGTCACAGTGTGCTAGACACGGTATTACCAATATGTGTTACACCTTCATATTCAAAGTCTTGGTTGACAATTCCATTTATGTCCAGGTTATTGATTGTAATGCATCTCTCAGGAAACTTCATGGATATTTCTTTGGAGGCTTTCCAAAACAGTCTCTTGTACAGCTGGTAAGCTAAAATATCAAATATGTTTTAAAATATATTCTAAATTATCTAGAAGAAACTACCACGATTTGACTATAATTCAACAAATGTTTATACACATACTCAATGACTACTATATAAGGCACAATTGCTTATTAATGTACACCGTCAATCAGAAAATATTGTGACTGAAATTCAATATGCAAAGCATGCAAACATAATAAAGAGTTTAAGTAATTATTTTAAGATTTGGGAATATCAAAGCATGGCTGTACCACACATGAAGGTTCCTTTCAAGAACTTCTGGTTTTCATGCTTAAAGGACCACTCTAGGCACCCAGACCACTTCAGCTTAATGAAGTGGTCTGGGTGCCAGGTCCTTCTAGGGTTAACCCATTTTTTCATAATTATAGCAGTTTCAGAGAAACTGCTATAATTATGAATGGGTTAAGCCTTCCCCCTAATCCTCTAGTAGCTGTCTCATTGACAGCCACTAGAGGCGCTTGCGTGCTTCTCACTGTGATTTTTCACAGTGAGAGCACGCCAGCGTCCATAGGAAAGCATTATGAATGCTTTCCTATGTGACCGGCTGAATGCGCGCGCAGCTCTTGCCGCGCGTGCGCATTCAGCCGGCGGGGCGTAACGGAGGCGGAGAGGAGGAGGAGAGCTCTCCGCCCAGCGCTGGAAAAAGGTAAGTTTTTACCCCTTTTCCCCTTCCAGAGCCGGGCGGGAGGGGGTCCCTGAGGGTGGGGGCACCCTCAGGGCACTATAGTGCCAGGAAAACGAGTATGTTTTCCTGGCACTATAGTGGTCCTTTAAAGGGACACTATAGTCACTAAAAACAAATTGCTTAATTAAGAAATGTATGTTTTGATGTATAGAACATGCGTATGCTTACTCACACCTCACTGCGTGTGACTTACACAGCCTTCCTAGACACTTCCTTTATTGCACAGTCTGTTTAATTTAGAATTTCTTATCTCCTGCTCTGTTAATAGCTTGCAAGACCCTGCAGGAGCCTTCTGTGTGCAATTAAAGATATATTTACAGAGCAGAAGATACATTTTTTTTTATTTTTTTTAAAGTAAGTTACATCTAATTAAAAATGAAATACAGACTATAAATCACAGATGGGGAGACACAAAATTCTAAATGGCAGAGAATTGAGCAGTGAGGCATGATCTATACACAAAAACTACTTAATTAAGCTAGAGTTGTTTTGGTAACTATAGTGTTTCTTTAACCCTCCAAATAAGCTAGAGGGACACTATAGTCACGAGAACAACTACAGCTTAATGTAGTTGTTCTGGTGAGTGTAATCAGCCCCTTCAGGCCTTTTGCAGTAAACACTTTATTTTCTAAGATATTGCCATGTTTACATTTCAGCCTAGGGATACCTCCACTGGTGGCCTCTCATATGGCTACTAGAGGTGCTTTCTGGGGCAGTGTTACACAATGCTGTCATACGGTGTCTCCACCATCTGCATGGAGACACTGAACTTTCCTCATGCATCTCTATGAAGAGATACTATTTGTCCAGAGCTGTGTTTGGCTTGTGCTGGCTCTGCCCCCTTGACAATCTCAGGCAGTCCAATGCTTTCCTATGGGAAAGCATTGTGATTGGCTGAGATCACCACTTCTGATGATGTCAGCCAAGGAGGCAGATCAGGGGCAGAGCCAGCACCAGCAGACTGGAATAAAGGTAGGATATTACTATATTTAGGGGGAGAAAGGGGGTAAATTGTGTTTTTAACATTATAGGGTCAGGAATATGTTTGTGTGTTCCTGACCCTTTAGTGTTACTTTAATGAAAATTGTCTAATAAACAAGATTCATGAAATGAGTAGCAATTCTGTGAGGTTACACCTGAAACAGATAGGTCTACTACAAACTGGCATTTGAGGGTACTTGTTTTTCCTATCTTTTTCTCTCTCATTTCTGTTGACAAGGACATTTAGAGTAGTTGCAAATGAGATAATTGGTATAGGAGCTGAACAATTTATACTAAAACTATGGCATAATTTAGCTCTGAGGTTAATTTTGATTTATTAATTTCGCTTATTTATTGTGAATAGTTTTTATGTTTTTAAAATGTTTATAAATGACTCAAAACCTTTTACCTCATTATTTAATAATATATAATGGGAGAAAGCAGGAAGTATAACAAATGAAATACTAAAGAGTAACTTTAAATTTAGGTTTACCAGTATGCCAAAATTAAACCAGCGGAAAATCAGTAAATTTTATTTTATTTTTGTATAGAATATGTTAAGTTCTTACCTGCCACAAGAAGCATCCCATTTACAAACTGGAATGATGCATATATTAAGGGAAAGGTGAACATCTGAACAAGTTGTTTGGGACTAAAAGACAACTGGAGAACAGTGGAACACATCTGCACATTCTGAGCTCCTGTTTCTAAAGCAATTGTTCTGCACCTGTGAACAGAAAATGTATAACATCTAAGGAAACTTAAACATGATCAAATGCCATCTGTTGTGAAGTTCTTCATAAGCTATTTGATGGTACCTTCAAAGCCAGTCAGTTTTACATTTTACAATTACAGTTTAGAGCAGTTGGGCCAAAAACATTGGACAGTCAGATGGAGCTCCAGCACACCTTTGTGAAATATATTTGCTTTTGAATGGTAAAAGCTGTTTTAAGAACACAATCTATAGTGTGTGCATACTTTGTAATTTGTTATATAGCACCATGGCCACCTTAACTTTGAATGAAGAGTGTATAGTGCAGGGTTAGGCAACATTCATAAATAGTCTTCCTCTGGATGTTTTATATTTATTTAAAAATAAAAAAAAATAACAAAAGTTTTATTCTGGCCTTTCTCAAGCCACATTTAAAGATAAGGATATTCGGTTTATAGCACCACATAACAAAATTCCAGTTCATCTCTACATATCATCTGGTCTGTACTTCCCTACAGACCATGGGTGAAAATCTAAGAAGCATTGGCTATATCACGGCCTAGAAAAGCTTTATCAAACATATTTTGCCTCTACAAAAGCGGACATTAAAGCTATATTGAGAGACCTAGGCAATGTTCCAATCAGAAATTGCAGTCGCCTTTCCACTGTCAAGGAAACCACCGAGGGTCAGACGCGTAACTAGAAAGCACTGGGCCACGGTGCAAAAAGTGCCCTTGCCCTGCCCCCTCCCCATGTGTCTGATCCCCCCCCCCTCCTGCCCATCAGCGTGTCTCATTCTCCCCCCCAAGTCCTCCATGTGACTGTCCAACCCCACTTCAAGTGTCTCATTCCCCAACCAGAGCCCCACCATGCGTCTCTCCCTCATCGCAGGCTCACCGTGTGTCTTATTCTTTCCCCAGGGCCCAACAATGTGTTTCTTCCACCCTCCCCAATCCCTCCATGTGTATCATTCTCCCCTCCTCCCAGAGCCCTACCATGTGTCTCTCCCACCCTCCCCACCATGTGTCTTTCCCACCCCTCAAGTCTCTCATTCTCTCCCCTTCCCAGACCCCCTCCAAGTGTCTTATTCCCCCCTAGTTTGTATGTTGAAGTATAGTGAAACAGCAACAACAGCAACATTCAATGGTAATTCTTAGGGGCAAGTCTGAGAGTTAATTAAAAACTAAAGATTAAGAAGAGAATAATTAGACATCGACATCTCAGGGTTGTGACATTTAACAAGACGCAGATGTAATACAGCACCAATAACCACAGAAAACTCTCAGGATTATAAAGATATACAGAGCAATTTTTTGAACTAAAGTAAATAAGGTGGAAGGATATAAAAGAAAGAAGGAAAGAAAAAAAGAGAAGAGGGAAGGAAAGAGAGAGAGGAGGAAGGGGAGAAAAAAGGAAGGGGAAAAAAAAGAGAAATATTCTCTAAACTGTGAATTCTATAGCTACACCGCATAGAAAAAAACAAACATACACCCCACCCAAAAATGTGAAATCATTAGAACAAAAAGCTGCTGATTTAGAAGATAAAATGAGACGCAATAAGCCAAGACTGAGAAACATCGCAGAGGAAATAACTAAAGAAAAATTAGAACAATATTTGGAACAATGTTTTGCACACATTAACATTACAAAGGAAAAACATGGCTGTCTTATGGGATGCTGGCATACAGTATCAAAGCCACAATCTGTATCTTCACATTCCCCCCAAGATGTCTTGATATGCTGCTCGTCCTTTCGTATAAAAGATCACATTATACTATCTTTAAGGAAAGGGACTTTCAAGTGCCCTATGAGAAGGTACAAATCTTCCCCGATATATCGTTCTACATTAGATCAAAGAGGAAAACTTTCACCAAATTAACAGAGATCCTCCGAGCCAAACACCTACACTATCGAAGGCGTTTCCCTGTGAAGCTTATTTTGAAATTCGAAGCTAATACTTTCATTTTTGACACACCTGATAAATTAGAACATTGAGGGGGGCGGGGCCTGACAGCTAAGATGGCCAGACGTGTTAGTTAACTGCTCCTGAGCAACTGAGTTTAACCAAAGCCTTTACCACTTAAGTTGCCAGAAATTCAGAGTGGAGTAGATGGTGGATTGTTCCTGCAACGTGTGGGCACTCGTGGGTGTCCTTTATACTCTTCTAGACCAAGGAAATCCGCTGTCCAAACATGCAGCCTAGCGTGACTAGCAGCCTGGAGACGGGGGGAGGCGGCCGCTCCCTCAGCATGGGGCTTGCTTTGATCGATGGCCTGTCTGCTGCCCTGCAACCCCCCCCCCTATGGACCGGTGGGGGTCATCCCGGTCCCCGCTGGGGAAACTTACCTCATCCACACAACAAGGCTCCCTGCTGAAACAACAACCACGTGGTATGCAAAACATGGCCGCTGCTCCTCATCCTCAGCAACACCAGAGTTGTACCGCTGAGCCGCAATGGAGAGAGAGCTTTGAGGCGCTCTTTGATGCTCTGTGTGACCGATTCTGGAGGCGCATATACCACCGACCACCCTTACCTGTCGTGACGGTGAGCCTGAAGGCAGCAACGACTACTCGACCAAAGAAATCCACAAGCAGCCGACCCGGCACACGGAAAGCCCACCGACAGGCGGTTTACCAGCGGACCCGCTCTGACACAGTGTGGCGGCGGAGCACCCATGACTGCTTGGCTGTAGAACAACCTGCACCTTGGGCACTATGGAGCAGAAACCCCTTGCACAGTAGACCTCACACAGCACTTGGGAATGTGACCCGGCTGAGGCAGCGGGACAGAGAGCAGAGAAACACCTCACACAGGAGCCGCAAAGGGGCTACCTTGGATGTCTGTACATACGCCCACCAAGCGGAGCCCAATAGACCAGCAAGTCACACACAGAGCCTAAGAGTGGGAATCGGCTGACTGCTGACGGGCACAGTAACGCAGCCCCACACCGGACAACAGGAACCGTGTCACTTTCTGCGGACTCCGACTCACCGTTGTGGAACTCTCGTCACCCTACAAGGGGATGCAGCATTCACACACTCTGGACTGCCAACACAAGATACCCAATCCCGGGCTCTCGCCAGAGAACACCCAGTGAGAACTCTAGCTTCCAATAACTTGCAATAATGTTTGCTTGCAATAACTGATGTTGTATTTGCTTATTAGTTTTGCTTGACAGTAGCCTTATCAGTTCACTTAATCTAATGCATGATAGGCATAACCTGTTTGATATCTGAGGCTAATAAGGAGTGCAAGTAAACAGAATGGAGTAAAATTATCAAATATACCTACACTCCCGCAGACAAGCTGACTCCCCTAGGAAAACAGCTGTACTCCCATAGCCTGTAGTACTCAGCAGCCTGGCAGCTTAGCATGATAACTTCCCATTAGAGGAATTTTTACACTATAATGCCTAGATAAATTGCACTGTCAGCTAAGCGCTCTAATGGGTATACTGTTTTTATTCCATATGTGCCTAAGACCTTCATAATTGTAATTAAGCACGATTTCACCTATTGCTACCTAGCAGGCCCTGAGATGTACAATGATGTTTCTAGCCTGCTGCCTTTAAAAGACACAACTCCATCTTGGAACTCCTCAAGCTCCGTTAAGCTTGTAGATCAGATAATTACATTAGAAGCCAATATGCGTTGCTAAGACAGTTATACCTTGCATGCCTAGTTATCGCCTAAACTTTGTGTTCACCTTGTACCATATCATGCTAAGACGTGCAGGTTTATCTTGATAATCTAACAGAAATGTGCAATGCCTTCAATGCCACAATATTGTTCTCTTGTGTTTATCGCTCAGTTTGCTCCTGCTGTTGTGGCAAAGCAAACCCATTTGTTATTCATATGCACAAATAAAATAAAGAATTATAAAAAAAAAAATAGAACATTGAATAAACATTGGATGAAAGAAAAAGATTTGTTTACTTAAGGAAAATGAAAGCTTAAGGTAGATAAAATTTGGTTTTTTTTGTTTGTTTTTTCTTATAATTCATTGAGAAAAGAAGATGGAGAGAGGAATTTGAAATGTGAAAGAAAAGGAAAAGTTTCTAACAGCAGAAAATACAGGAAAAAAGATTTGGAAATAAATCTGAGAGTAATAACTAAAGAAAATGTGAACAAAAATTACTCTAACCAATGTATTAAAAAAGGAGATATTACTAACAATCGCACGGCAGATAAAGAACATTAAATTTAATTTTCATACTTCATCTGAATCCTCTCGATGAGCCACTTACTTTACAGCATTAAATTACTTCTCTATTTTTTTTCTCTCAGAAATACTGTTACATAATTGATTAACAGTGCAAACTGGTTAACGTAATTAATGAACATATTAGAACAAATCTCCTATATGATATGCTATGTTTCCCGTTGTAGCCAATTGTGCTTGTGAAACAAGTTTCTTTTTTGTTTTGTTTTTTTTATTCCCTTCTCTGCTTTCCATGACAATTCCTGAAAGATTAGAAAGTCAGATAAAAGGGAAAGGAAAAGACATAGGGGGAAAATGAAAGGTTTAAAACAATATAAAATATAATGCCCATAAAAGAATAATGCGTTTATTACTAATTTACTTTTTACAAATGGTATATGTCACCGTTTCTCAAATGATACACACGTAATAGGTTGAGAATATTACTAAAATTTTATACACCTGAAACTATGATTGAAAACTAAAGAGGATTAAATACAATGTAAAGTATAGTTTGAAATTAATAATCTTCTTTGTATGCACTTAAATAATACATAGAAATTATTTTCTTTTTTTTTTTCTCTCTGGCAACAGAAGGGAAATAATGTACAGCATAAGGATAACACGTGGTTTAAAACAAAAGATAATTAAGGATAATAGTCACAAATGATAAAGGGAGAGAGAGAAAAGGGAAATCATAAAAAGTTAGAATTTTCTAAATAGGTGAAAAAAGAGAAGAAGAAGAAGGGAAAAGGAAAGAGAGAGACAATTTGCACTTTTTAAAGGTGGAAAGATAAAAAATGAAAGTAATCCACT